TTTTTACTTAAAATTTTACAATTTTGTAGAATTTTCTATATAGAATTTTCTATGAAAATACATTACAAACTTTTTTAAGGCTAAAGACATATTGACCTGGATAATACAAATTTAAAATATAACAGCAAACATATGTTTATTTGTGGAATATAACATTATTATATAATTTATAATTAAAAATCTATGTTATATTATATTATACTCTAACGTCTTGTTGTCAGAAATTCAGAATTTATTTTTTCGAGTTTTATTACGTAAAGTTTAATATTTATTGTAAAATGATTTTAATAAAATAAGTTTTCCAAACCTTAGAAGAATCAAAAATGTTATATCTGTGATGGTGTTAGCGTATACAGAATAATTCAGAATACAAGGAATAAGTATGCCTTTTATATCATTGTACAGTGTTGCACATAGTACAGAATCAAAAATCCCAGATAAGAAAGTTACTAAAAACCACGTAATCAAGATCTGTTTCATGAAATGTTGCATTCTATGATATTCTTTTGATGTTCCGAGTTCTTCCAATGTATCATCCACATAACCGAGCTTCCTTATAAACTGTCGATATTTCTGAAGATTCAGTACAAAAATTTATAAAACTTGAGGTTTTTCCTGAATAAATATAAATAATGCATATACATATATGTATAATAAAACGCAATATATCTATATGATAAACACGCACATATTATTAAAATATAAATTATACTATAACTTATCTAATATAAGAAACAATTGAAATAAGGTTTGTTAACTAACCGGAAGTTTTATATCCTACAAATAAAAATTAATATATGAAATATAATTTAAAAATATAAGATTTTATATCACATTTTTAAGCAAATAATGAAATTAATTAGTCAACATTTCAGAAAGTAGTTTTATATGTTTTATATGTAATTTTACATGTTTTTTGCTACATTTCAAATAGCATGCTATATTAAATCGACATTTACAAATAAAACACATACCTTGTGTTTGCAAAAGATGATAATTATGGATATTATTGCCACGAACAAATTTACTATAACGACAAAGAAAGCCAATGAACTATCAAGTACACTTTTTATCACAAACAGGCTCATTGCGTATGAAAACGCGCAAGCATAAACACTCCACATTATTAATAAGTAGAAAATACTCAAACGATATCTTGATTCGCCTAAGGGATAAAGAATCCCGAAACCTAAAACAAACGTAATTAAAGAAACGGGACTTAACGCCTTCTCTATAGTATCAACCATGATGAAGACTTTCACAATTTTATGTGCTAACTGTTAAAGTTTCCAAGTTGCATAGTTTGCATTGTGCAAACGTCATGACTATAATGGAATGACATTTGATTATATTACACATACCTTTAAATTATTAAATAGTGCACAGTGGAGACAATCGAACCGCATATGAATTATATGAATTAATACTCTCTAATAAAATTTTATTTTAATGTTTTACATGATCAACTAATTAAAATGTAAGAGTATTAAATTTACGAATATTAAAGATAATTTTATTTAATATAAATATTTAAATAAATAAGCTGTACAAACAAGTCATAAATGAAAGTAGTAAGTTTTTGAATTATATAATATATTATATATAAACTATATAATACATTAATGCAGTCTAACAACATTAAATTAATGTTAACATTTATTTACACCACACAAATTTTATAAACCAATATGGATATGACTAAAAAAAATTATGGCAGTAAGTTGAAACAAATAAATATTATAAATAAATAATTAGAAAGAAAAGTGCATGAAGAATTTTATAATTCCGTACATATCATCTACTGCATATCATAGCATGTTATATTATCTTTGCTATTAATTTCGGATTATATGAAACTCCACTTGCGCCATGAAAAGTACAATGGTGATCATCCATATGAAAAACTGAAAGAATATCAAAAATATTAATATTGGATGTTTTGCAAGTTAAAAAGCTAACTATAAGTTATATGTATATGAACGATAATAAAGATTAACCTTACAAATGAAACTGTAGCCAAAATGAAATAGACCCAAACCGCTAAACATCAAGTGTCATAACGATATTTGCAAGCCAAACTAGCAAATCTGCATTATATATGATATCCAATCTTCATTTAAATAACCTTACTTAAATAAAAATTATATGAATCAAGAAGTAGTTTTATAGAAAACTTACCTTGCATCTTTGCGTTCCTCGGCAAAACGATTAAGACTTGTCAATTTATGAATAATGCTTTTGGTCTTTTGTGCTTAAAATGATTAATTATATTATTTTACATTTATAATTACTTTGAATAGGAATATTATGATTTTTAGATGAATAAAGAAAAATTTAAAAATTTTTTATCTTAATGGCTAAATAGAATGTATTTTTCTGTTAATATTTGTTTTATTATTTGCAATTATTATATTTTTCACGGAGAATTGTGTTATTTATTATGTAACTTTTTTGATTGTAAGAATATCTTTTCACAGTTCTGAATTACTATTAAAAGTATTTACCTTAGTACTAACATTTTTGCATATATGATTTACTGATATGAGTTTAATTAAAAATATGATAAACCACATGCCATTAGAAAGTATTATTTTTATTACTAAAATAATTTATTACTAAATAAATTTCAAATATTTGTTTTAAATATGTCACGTGTAATTGAAAATAAAACATTGCAATTAAAATAATGAATTAGGATATAATCTGCAGGGTCATTTGCATTCCAAAGAAGTCATTTATGTCGCAAGCTGTTCGATAAAGTTCCGAATGGAGATGGAAAATTTATTAAGTATTTACAATAGGATTCTACGATAAGATTTCTTAAGTAAGTAATGTTGAGAAATGAACATTTGCAATCATTTTTATATTCATTGTTGTTTAATCGATGTTTCTGTTTTATTTTTATGTTGCTTTATTGCTAATAAAACAATACATTTCTTACCATTAATTTACTTAATTATTTATTTACACAGTAAAAGTGGAGAAATTTATGCACTTTAATAATAATACATTGCAAGTTACATGTATTATTTATACATATTTCATATTATGCATTTTATAGTGTCAACAATATAAGAATTCATATATTTTTGTTTTGCAAAAAAACAATCCTGTGTTACAACATACTATTCCTTTGGGATTTCAATTTAATTATCTTTTTTTAATAAATATGAATATATGTTGGATGCGTCAGACATTTGGATTGCGATGATCACATATGTCACAATTGTCGTAAGAAACTGAAAGAAATCGTGTTAATTAAATTTTAATATGGTTAAAAGTTTTGATAAAAGATAAACAAAAATAATATTTTAAACATTTTGTATATTAAATGATTTGACACATTCGTCCCACAATAAAATAGTAATAGAAATATTATTTAATATAATATGGATACAAACTCCTCGCAGAAAGCCATTGCCAAAATAGAAGAGGCCTAGTCCAGTGAATTTCAATGGATGATGTATTAATTGTAATGTAAACTGATAAATCTGTACAAAATGATGGCTTTTTAAGTCTTGTTAATTACTTTAATTGCTTCTTATTATTGAAATTTACCTCATCACGGAGATCAGCGTATCGAAGAAAATCTGTTAATCGATGAATAATCGCATTCATTTTGTTAGACTAAAATTAATAATTTGCTCTGAATAAGTAAACAAATAAATGTGTACACACACACACATACACACACACACATGTGTATTATAAATTATGGATTTACTTTAGCGCTAATGCTCTCGCAAACGTAATTTATCCAGAAGAGTCTGCCAACATATAAAGTTATCCAGACAGAGAAGTCAGTCCAGTAGAACCAAAATAAAATGTTATCTTTTTGTATTGTACGTAAGCAAATATAATAAATTAGTCTTGTCAAGCAAACCAAGTAAGTTGCCATTTCCATAGTTATCTGTTTTTCAAATATTGCGTTTAATTCGCGAGCAACTTGACATAATTCTAAATGAAGATGCCTATCAAAAGATGGAAATTGCTAATAAGAATACAAAAAAGTAGTGAATTTAAAAAGTTGTTTTTTAATTAAAAAATTAGATCATTAGGAAAGTTCTGCGGTTTTTTCTCACATCTGCTCGGATATCAGTTTGAATTTTGCGCTAATACTCAGTTAGGAAGCCCAAACTTCAGGTTAATGAGAAAAAGCACTCTTTTGTTTAAACAATGCAATCATCCATAATGGCATATGTTTAGTATATTCAATTTTATAGTGGCCTAAAGATGCAGAATCAAAAATAAAATTTTTGCAATATTATGATTTTTTACTACAAAAAGGGCAAGAACGCATGCAAGACAGTGCGTAAAATTTGTAAAATTTACGGACAAGGTACTGTTCTAATGATACAATTTGAAGGTGGTTTGTGAAATTTCAACAAGTTTGTGATTTCACTACTCTTAAAAACGAGGCGCGGTTTGGATGTCCCTGCACTGTAAATAACTAGATCTGTGCTCTACTAGAACAAGCTACGAAAATCTTCGTTATATAGTACAAAAGTTGGCAAAGAATTAAAAATTGCAAAAAATACCGTACATGACCACTTGAACTTGTCTTCGTGAAAATCGCAGAACTTTCCGTGACCTAATAGATTGTATTATCTGAATAAATCTCAAATTTCTGCCAAATTTTAAATGTATTATTTTTATACAATGTTAAATCCGAGGTTAAATCAGATCAAGATTAGTAATCTATCCAAGTATACGTTTGTACATATACCGATTTACATTGTAGTCCATAACAAGCGCTTGTAATTGTTGACACACATGATGTAACGAGTGGGTTGTAGTATTTTTTTCCTTGTATATCTTGTATTATATTCTTCTCTCAATAACAAATATCTCATATGTTCATTTAGTTCGTCAAATTTGGTTCCAATGTACCTGCAAAGGAAAAATTGTGCATTCCCAAATTTATAGATACAAAGAATAATTTTCAAATAATCAAAAGCATTTATTACGTCTTGTGTTAGCTGAAATTGTAAAAATGCTATATTAAATACTTAGTTTCTAAATTATATAGCTTATCTATTAAATTATAGTTTTAATAAAAAATTTATAATTTTTAAATTAATATATATTTTAAAATAAAACTTTTATTTGTGAAATAAATTATAGTTAACGCTATATATATTTATATACATATATGCATATAATTAATTAATTTACATATATTAATGTACAAACCACGCAAGAATTATAAATAATAAATCCACAAGCATGTTGATATGTTGAAAATGGTTTGTAATATAAGGTATAAATATGCACCAAAAATTTTCAGGTATTGTATGAAGCCACCATATCATATCAACTATGTTGCCTGTTTGGGTACACACTAACCATCCAATTATTATCCCTTTTATACGTATATGCAACTTTTGATATGTTTTAGGAGTGCCTAACTCTTCCAACGTATTATCTATGGTATCGAGTCTTTTTAAGAATATCCACATTCTCTAGATAATATTAGATAAAAATACAATCTATTTATCATAAATATTTATTTATTAAATCATATTTACGTAAAAATTATTTAGTTTATATTTCTAATAAAAAGATAAAGATTTAGAATAAATTAAAAGTTTTTCTCTAAATCGATCTAACAAATAAATTGGATATGTGTACATACATACCTTGTATTGATATGAACTCGAAAAAATAGATATAATGACGACGATTAAGTTCATTGCAACATTGATTTGATGAATACCTATTTGAAACCATTTTTCTACTTTAAGTCCGATCACTACATAATAATAAAGACAACCATAACTGATCCACAGTGTTACATTGTAGAAAATATTGAAATAAGGTTTTCCCAGAGTATGAATGCCTAAACCGAAAATGCGAAAAGTCAAAAACAGAGGATGTATAGCTTGTTGTATAGCAGTCACCATGTTCACAATTATAGTTTCTACCATAAACTACCGTTAGCATATGCTTGTTGTGTTTGACCGCCAGATAGCTTGTTTATAAAAACTGAATAATAAATAGGTCAATGCATTAGCATTATGTGTATTAGCTAAATTCTCCGTATACACAATGACATAGTCGGATCTATGTCTCTTGACACCATTAATTCTAATGATGATAAAATGGTTTTTAGCTTAGACATTTCTCAATTAGAATATCTACCTATCTTTTTATTAGAATTTTCATTGAAATTATATGACAATATAGAAATTAAGTAGCTATAATAATTAAGAAATAATATAACCAATACAATTTGTAAGCATTATATGTCTTTATTATATGGAATTTGGCTCTTCAAATTTGAAAAATCATTACTTTGCAAATTGCATGTTTAATCAAAAATGTAATTTATTAATATTAAAAAAGCTTTTATTTTTAATAGAAATAAATACATATAATTTATAAATTATTAATAATATAAATTAATATGATAAATTTATAATATATAAAATACATTAGTAATAGGAAATATTAAATTAACTTTACTGTTTATTTTGCGTATTTTATAAATTAATATATTTATTTATAACTTTAGAAAATTACAGTACTAATAAGCAGAAATAGAAATATTAAATAATCAATTAGAAAAATGGCGTGAAAAATTTCGCTTTATGTGCTTTACTATTTGTTGTAGTATGTTACATTATTTTTGCTATAAATTTCAATCCATATATAGAAGCAAAATTCATAAAATAATAGCGAATCCAGAGAATCTAAATGAAGAATTAAAATATGAAATAGAAATATTTCGATTTGTAATTTTTTAACTATAAGATTTGTTAGCAAATAATGCTGAGAAATAAGCAATTTGCCATCATTTTTATATCCATTATTGTTTAATTAATGTTTCTATTTTCATGTTGCGAATAAAACAATGCATTCTTATTAATTGATTGGTACATAGTAAAATTTGAGGAATTTACGCACCTTAATAATAAATAATAATACATTGCGAGTTATATATTATTTATACTTATTTTATAAAGCCAACAGAATAAGAAAATATATTTTTATTTTGTAGAAAATAGTCCTGTGTTGCATCGTACTATAGTTTTTTGGGATACCAATTTAATCATCTTTTCTTAATTAATTATAGATTTATATTGGATACGTCAGACATTTGGATCATGATGATTACATACGTCACAATTGTCATAAAAAACTGGAAAAAAATCGTATTAATTAAATTAATATAATAATACGGATAGAAGTTTCGATGAAAGATTTACAATATTTTAAACAAATATAATTAATTCACAATAATATAAGTTTTAGGATCAAGCTAATTATTATTGTTGATGATTTAACAACGATCCGACATTAATCGTATATATTTATAAAGAATGAAACTTTATTACTAATATTTCAATCTTATAATAATGGTCTTCTCCAGTGTATGTGTATAACGTATAATTATGATTATGTAAATTGAACTGATTCGCATCAAACTTTTTGACGTTTTACGTAATAAAATGCAACATATGTAATTTTTTGTAATCTATCTATAATAGAATGGAACGAATAATCACAATAGATACATTACGTTTTATTATGAACACATCTAAAAATTCGAATTTTCGAATTAGTTCAATTTACGTGATTATATTTATATATTGTGGACTGCACTGAAGAAGACTGTTATTTTAAGATCGAAATGTTTAATTTAAAGTTTTATTGTTTATAAATATATATAATGTCGGATAGCAATAATAACTTGTAGCTTAACTCTAAAGCTCATATTATTGTATTAATTTTACTCAAAAAGAGCCTTTCTCTAAATTTTAATTTTAAAATATTTTAAACATTTGGTATATTAATTTGACACATTGTCTCACAATAAAATAGTAATAAAAATGTTATTTAAGATAATAAAATTAATGTATAATTTAGTGTGCGGGAGAAAGAAAGAGAAAAAGAAGTACATAAGAAAAGATTTAATATATTATAGTAGATATGGATACAAACTCTTCGCAGAAAGCCATTGCCAAAATAGAAGAGACCTAGTCCAGTGAATTTCAATGGATGATGTCTTATTTGTAATGTAAACTGGTAAATCTGTACAAAATAATGGCTATTTAAGTCGAAACAATTTTTTTAAATTGTCTTTTATTATTGAGATTTACCTTACCTCATCACGAAGATCAGCATATCGAAAAAAATGAGTTAATTCATGAATAATCCTATTCATTTTGTTGGACTAAAATTAATAATTTGCTATAAATAAATATATGTGTACACACACACACACACACACACACACACACACACACACATGTATTATAAATTATGGATTTACTTTAGCGCTAACGCTCTCGCAAAGATAATTTATCCAGAAAAGCCTGACCACATATAAGGCTATCCAAATGAACAGGTCAATCCAATCGAGTGGCACCGATAGAAATTTATCTCCTCTTATTATATGTAAGAAAATATAACGAAGTAATCTTGTCAGGCATGCCAAATACGTTGCCATTTCCATAGTTATCTGTTTCTTCAAACATTGCGTTTAATTCGCGAGCAATTTGACACAATTCCAAATGAAGATGCCTATTAAAAGATATAAATTGCAAATAAGAGCATTGAAGACTAGTGAAATAAGAAAGAAACATTTTTTAGTCTATGGATTATATTATCTGAATAAATCTCAAATTTCTGCCAAATCTTAAATGCATTACTTTAACACAATACTAGATTTTAAACTGAAAATTAATAATCCATCCAAGTACATATACCGATTTACATTGTAGTCCACAAGACGCGTTTGTAATTGTTAATGCACATGATGTAACGAGTGGGTTGTACTTTTTTTTTCCATGTATATCTTAAATTATATTCTTCTCTCAATAGCAAACATCTCATATATTCATTTAATTCGTCAAATTTGGTGCCAATGTACCTACAAAAGAAAAATTGTGCAATTTTAAAATTTATGAAGAATAAGCTTCAGATAAACAAAAGCATTTA